AGTCGACGATTGAGTCAATCATTTGCTGTGTTTTTAGCGCTCAAAAGGTTTAGCGCTTTTTCAATACATAACACAATCTCTCAATGAAAGCAATAATTGTTGAAAACAAATAACGTTTGCATTTAAGGCTTAAATTTGACGTTACTTTCAATGCAAACAATGGCTTTGGGTTTGTGTTGACGTATACTATATCACAACCATTTGACTGCATTTCTCATCATTTAATATTCAATTATTGATGTTTTGGTACTTTTTATAACAAACACTTCATATAATTTCAATATGTATTCTCATTACTTAAAAACAATACAAATACAAATGATATGTAATAAGGGCTTAAAAGCAATACTTTATACGTGTTGTAAATAAGCCTTTTATGCGTTCGTGAAATGCTAAACATATCTCACATTTCAGTCATATGTTTACAAATTGTTGAGTTATTTGAGATTCAATTGAAATTACAATTTAATTATCACTCATTTGGTGACCAACTCTTGAGATGGCAATCGGCGAACCCATAGCCGACGCGAAGACCAACACAACGGCCACAACGACCTCAACGCCGACCCCGAAGACTGGCCTTCAGTTCCCAATCACTCGTTACGCGAATCTGATTGTTATGCCAATCAATGATCAGATCATTGAATTGCAAACCATTATTAGAGACAAGTATTGATCCATCACTTGATTCACACTATAATGACATTAATCTCAATCTCATTGTACACCCATTAGGACCACAACAAGGAGTGACTTTGTTTTCTACGCCGACCGACTCGTCAGTATTGACACCGCATAAAGAGAGAGAGAGAGAGAGAGAGAGAGCCGTTCAATAACCGTATTATTACTTGTTTTAGATCCGTCTTGTGGTGGAGGAAGGCTTGAATCAGTTGCCATCGAAAGACATGGACGTGCGGACACCGACCGACGCCATATACCACGGCCTCCAGTACTTGAAACGGTCCGTCTGTGGCGTTAGTATTGTCCGCAGCGGCGAAGCCATGGAGAAGGGTCTGCGAGACTGCTGTCAGTCGATCAGAATCGGCAAAATACTGGTCCAATCGGATGAAGTGACACACGAGGCGCGGGTGGTGTACGCAAAGTTCCCCGAAGACATACAGGAGCGCAAAGTGCTGCTCATGTATCCCATTATGAGCACCGGAAACACTGTGGTTAAGGCCGTCAAAGTGCTTATGGATCACGGCGTCAGACCTACGAGTATTATATTGTTGAACCTGTTTTGTACACCAAATGGTATGTTTTACCACGTTTTTAGACTTTCAAATACCAATGAATATGTTTTGTTTGGTTTCGCATATAAGCGGTCGCATCGGTGGCCAAGACGTTCCCATTGATGACTATATTGACCTCTGAAGTGAATCCCGTGGCACCTAATCATTTTGGACAGAAGTACTTCGGAACCGATTAAATGTTATCCAAGGCGTGGACTTAAGAGTTTTTTGTTACAATTATAAATGATTTTAGTTTTACGTTTGCTAACAAGTATTGACACATTTTACATTTTTATTTCTAAAACTTATTTTCGGAACCGATTAAATGTTATCCAAGGCGTGGACTTAAGAGTTTTTTGTTACAATTATAAATGATTTTAGTTTTACGTTTGCTAACAAGTATTGACACATTTTACATTTTTATTTCTAAAACTTATTGAAAATGTATTATTATTGAGATTTGAATAAATTATTATTTGAATTATTTCTAAACACAAACCTTTGGGTTGAATATAAGAGAACCCGATTTAAACTAAACACATATTTTTTACAGCCGAAGATGGTTTCCAAACGGGGCTAATCTTATCAACGATGAGATGAGACTTGAAAACAACGGATCCGGACATCAAATACAAGAGATATAATAGTGTTAATTCATCATTAATTTCAATATATCAATAGTATAGCAAATTTATGACACGTTTAATAAATTGAGTTTAAAAAAGTTTGAACACAAGTTTTGACATTGGGTTACATAATGTAACTTACATTGAATGTCTTCACAGATAACAGCACTTCAGTAGCAATAGTCTTATGTAATCAATAATATTGTTACAAATGATATAACATTTACATCTCTATTACACGTATAATAAGTGGTATAAAAGTGTTTGCAGTAAGCAATCAAATCATGACTACTGAAAATAATTGTCGTTTAATTCAATTTCACTTATATTTCAGACCTAATTATGAGCCAAACGGTCGGCGGTATAGATGTGGCCAAAAAGGCGGCCGCAGTTAAGGCGGTCGACAATCACGTGAAGGTTAGGATCGATTTACAAATACAATACTTAATGATTAATTGAATTATTTATTGCTCTTCAGAATGGATTTACTGTCGGAATTGGAAGCGGAACCACAATAATACATGCCATCCAACGAATCAAACAAAACAAACTCGATGTCCAGTGTATTGGCATTTGTCCCACAGTATGATATATTCATTGATAACATCGATGTCTTTAATCACAATATTCTTCGCCACACTTTTAGACACAAGACTTGATTCTCGAAAATGGCCTCAAATTGACTGATCTGTCGTCTCATCCAGAATTGGATGTCTTTATCGATGGCTTCGATGAGGTGGAGGTGAGCACCAAATCATTGATTGTGGGCGCGTGTGGACGAGTGGCCGCCGTGAAGATCGCGGCCAACGCTTCCAAACAGATTGTGTTCATCGCAGACAATAGCAAACAATCGCAAAGATTAGGACAAGTTTTTCACGAAGGGATACCCATTGAAGTGATTCCAGTGGCCGCTAAACGTG